ATGCGCAACGTGGCTTCCATGGAACAGAGGTTCGAAGAGAAGGCCGCGGCCGCTCGACGGAGCGTGGAAGCCGGGCTGAAGAACGGTGCCGGACCCCGAAAGTTGGCGTCCCTCATCAGACGCGCGTCAGATTACGAGCGTCTGCAATCGTCTTCTCAGAAGGCGATTTACGATCTAGAGAAGGACGCCCTGTCTTCGGAAATGCGGAAGATAGACGGTCTGCAGTACGAACGGTTGAAACGAGAAGATCACGAACTCGGCAAATTCGAGAGGCTCACCAATTCCCGCAAAATATGCAGACGTATAGCGGCCGTGAAGGTCAGGAGGGACCGTCGTAAAGTGGGAGTGGAATCCATAAGGGATTTGCTAGACTCGGAATCGGACGACGGAGACGGTGACGACGACGAACACTCGTCCGAGATGCAACTCGCCAAAGACCTCATCGACGACGACGTCTGGCAAAAGGTGACCGAACTGCCGGAACCGTGTACAAGAAAAAAAGACAATCACTTTTCTTTGCAATAATGAAAATTTTAAAGAAAAGAGAGAAATAAAAGAAAAAAAAATTTGTGTTTTCAATTCATTATTTTATTTTTATTGATCATCAGCAAGTTCGCACGAGGCGCAAGCATCGCATGATGTGATGGCGCCGCATCTGCAAGAACGCATCATCGCCAAGTCGGGTTGCTTGAATGTCAGCCTGACTCCGGCACCGTCGAGGGCCAAGGTCGCCAACCTTCTCGAGTGGCAGTTGTAGCACGCAGGCTCCAGAGTGTTCTCGTCGATGTATATACCTTTGGTCGGAGGGCGGTTCTTGAGGTCGACGTACGTGAGAACTATGTAGCAGTATCTGCATATGACGATGGACTCGAAACCGCTTCCAGGTTCGTACGTCTGATCGTACGCGTACTGCACCTTGGCGCACCTTCTCTGCACGAAGAGGACGCTCTTCATCTCCGACGCCTCCTCCTCGCTCAAAAGGGAAAGGGCATTGGTCACTCGGGACTGTAGAATCCTGCGTTCCCGAACGTCGTTCAGCATGAGGACGCACGCGACAAGACCGGCCGATCTGTCAGGCAGGACGAACAAGAGGTTGAACGGCCAGTTGGTTCGCGTGAACTCCAGCACCCTCTTAAGCATCGGATGTAACGGTTTGGTCTTGACGCTGTTCAGATGCGCCAGTACCACCCTGATGATGGCCGACTCGTGCACCCTGTCGGTCTTCGGGACGACGTGGTTGGACGTTTTCCGTTGGTCCCGATCGGATCTCAGCCATCTGCGAATCTCGTCCAGGTTGGCAACGGCCGCCGCGATTTTGCTGTGGTGCGGAAGGAGGAGGGTGTCGTAGAAGTACCGGACGATTGCCTTCTTGCGCCGATCGTCGGTTTTCTTCTACCTTTCCTCGTCGTCGTCGTCTTCGACTTCGTCGACAAGAAACCCTCCGAGCGCGACGGCCGCTTCGAACTGCATTACCTCTTCCTCGCTGCACCTCGTCCACTTGGTTATGTGCGAACTCTTGGAAGTCGTGCCCAAACACGAGCTGACGAGTTCGACGAGTCTCGAACGATCGTCGCCTTCGCTGTGCGCCTAGAACATGTACGCGAGACCTGCGACGAAACCCGGGAACGCCGTTTCGCGCGACATGGTCGGGAATGAGCGCTGCCGAGGTTTTGCCAAAAGATATGTACGCACGCTAAGAAAACAAATATGAAATCAGTCACGTTCGCAGTGTTTGGTTTGCTCCTGAAGTTTGCGGTTGCGCCAGATCTCTGTGTCACCTTCACGCTGTCCGGGACGCCCTGGAACGAGATTCCGTACCTCCGCCGGCCCATCTCTAGTAGCTTGATGATGTCCTCCCGATTGGTGCGGGCGCAGTTTAGATCCTGCGCCCAGTTGACAACGGATATGCCTGATTCGTGCACCAGGAGCGCCGCAACGACCAGCTGACAGGCTCTGTTCTTGCTACATCGCCGGGGAACCCGAACGACGGTAAACTTCCTGTCGTATTCTTCCAGCTTTCTGACGGCCGCCTGGCGCACGGCGGGATGCCACCTGGCGTGTTCCGTCAGCGTCTCGGCCTCCTCCTCGGAGAGGACGCCGAGGATGCGCAGCGCCGGAATTCGAAGCTCGGAAGCTCGGTCGCCTAACACTTTGTTGAACATTCCGGCCATGACCGCGTTGCACATATCCCGCTGGAATTGCTCCAGACGAATGTTGCATTCCTTGCAGAATTCCAGAGTGGACTTGACGTTCCGAACGTGTTTTAACGCTTTCTCTTCCGCGCCGACGGTCTCGCCTAAATCAACGCATGCGGAGAGCGGCTTCAAAACTCTCAGCCTGGCTTCTCTGCGCCTGTCTCTTATACATCCTCTCATCGATCCTGTCGCAAATTCTGCGCATCTGCCTTTCGTGAGGAATCATGGCGTGCATGGCGAATCGGTGAGAGACACGCTACTAAGGATGTTCGACGCTACGGTTAAGGATAATTGCAAATTCAAGTGGGATCGAATATATCTCGATGCGTATAAATGAAATTGTCATGTTGGGAAATAAATAATTCGAAACAAAAACCTTTTCGTTAACAAATGTCTTCTACATTTTTTTTGTTAATGTAGTAAAAGGGAGGAAAATGACAAAGAGACACACGGAGAGATGAATAACTTGGACGTACCTCTTCCAGTCTACTGCGCGACGCTATCGTTCGCCTACAACGGATTTGGCATTGTGCTGTTTTTCCGAATTTTGGAAATGTATTTCGGAAAACGATACTCCGACATGTTCACGATTGACACGAGACACGCCATGGTCGACAGCGCCGTCAGTATAATGACGACTGTCGGCGTCATAATCTTGTCCGCGATGGCCGGAGCTTTGCGGACGACGGTGGCAGACGATCGCTCGGTGGACGAAAGAACGATGGAGTCGACGTTCTCGTGTCTGTTGGGAAATTACCTTTTGCTGCTTCTGAGCGGATTGGGAACATCCAGCGCGGTCGTGAGACCGATGAACAGGATCGTGGACGTTGGGATTTTGGTCGCGGTTATGCGAATCGGTTTTCCTTTGTATTACATGTGGACGTTGACCAATGTGAAAAGTCGTGGGTGGAATTTTGCAGGAACGTTCGTCTGCAACTGCGTGCTACCGCTCGTTATGGTAAAATTTGCCATAATCAACGTCCCCGTCGAATTCGGGCCAGATTCCGTTCCTGCGGTGGTGCACTACTG